CACGTGATGGCAAATTCCCTATTGTGGGCCATTGCACTTGAGCAGCTCACCATGCAGAGCAGCTGCTATGTAATGCCATTTCAAGAAGTTCCTTGCAGTGGCTGTTTCATGTGGTGGGCTTTATTGTCATGGAGATTCCAATGGCAGTTCCTGTGGAGGCTGCAGGACCATTAAAGGAAGGCAGGCTAGAAGGGGGTTAGGCAGAAGAAGCAGGCTTTGAAAAGAAGCCAAAAGTAAGAAACTGAGCTTGATACATCAAATCAGGAGAGACTTTTTGTACATTTAAGAGGTGCACAGAAAGGAAAAACCAGGTTCTTGAGTTCCTCTTGGCTTTACATGACTGCATCTTGGGTTAAAGCTGAACCTGATAAATCTCTTATCTTCTGTACATCTCCTGATCTGGCAACCCTTATACAAAAGGTGGGAGCAGGACGAATGTATTGAGAAAAATGCTTGTCTCCATGCACAGTTTATTCTATGAATGTGGTTTCTGTTCTCTAAAAGAGTATATTGAAAGGTAGTAGCTTACAGTATTAAAGGCACACACATATACACATAGGCAATTTGCCTGCATGCATCAGTAAGAATCTCAGTGATTCATCTATATTGGGGTTTGGCAAAGACAGAAATTATTGCTGTTCCCTGCAACCCAAAATAGAAGAGTACTATAAGCAGACTGAGTCACAAACCTGTTAAACTGGAGCACTTGGATTTAAGGTGATTTGATCCCAAACACCTGCTATTCAAGTACCCAGACTTAACTAAGCTATTGATAAATCTATGAGGCATATTCTAGAGGGCCACACTCTACAATGGACATGTCTATTTTCATTTCTGAATTGTTACCAATATATTCCAGATATTATTAATATTTAAGAGCCTAGCCTCACCCCAATGGAATTTCTTGTATGTACAACTACAGTTACAAGATGAAGGCTTCATGGTTTTGAATTTGTGTAACTGGTTTCTTGCTGAAGCAGAACGCTAAAACATCAGATGTGCCCTGTTTAATTTAGCATACAATCCACATCCCATTAAAGCCAACTGCAGTATTTCCACTGATTTTTAATAGAATTGGAGTGCAACTCTAGGCTCAGATTTCAAGCAACCTAGTGGGACATGAGTTCAATTAAAATAATTGTGGCTCACATTCAAATAAATTTGCTTGGTCGCTATTAAAATATTAGACAGTATTGTTTTAAACTATGGCTGACGAAGTTGTCTTTTGCCACAGCTACTTTATTACAGACTCTAATGTGCAGGACTTTTCCATCTTCATTGTAGCATGCCTCCCTAAGTAAAGAATTATTTGATTAAATGAAGGCTGCACTTCTATGTATTGAATTAAGTGGGTCTAACTTAAAAGAAGATATGCATAGGATTATGTTGTATGTCAGATAAAAGCATTAAAACAAAACTGAAGCAGATGGATTACTGGTAATGAGTCTTACCAAGTCAACAAATTCTTTATAAGAAATCAGTACAGATCAGTTGCACAACCTCCATATATTATGGCAGCATTCTTGTTTTTCTTCAGTCCACGTTGATTTCCTCTTGTGACATATGCCAGAAAAAAACAGGGAGCAAAATATAACATAAATCCTCCTTGAAGTAGACCTATTGAAATTAATAGGACCCAAGATTTACATTGCATTTTGCCAATTACCTTCTCTTACTGCAACCAACTTTGACTGAAAGTGGTTTGCATCCTGGTCTGCTCATGGCAAGCCAGCTTTGCCAAGAGTCCCATGCCATGCTCAAGGAAATTTCACGGGCTGATGAGAAGAAAACAACACAAGCCACAACCAGCCACTATGGTTGCCATGACCATTCTTAGCACACCTGACTGATAGGGAGCCATGTGGTTGTGGACTGTATGCTGTGTGATTGGCTGTTGGCAATAATCACAATGAGGTCTCAGCAGTGAAACCTACTTAGCTTTCTTCAGCAGGCAAGTTTCCATCTTTCTGCTGATGAAGCAGCACAGGTAGCACAGAACTGAGATGTGTTGCTGCTGTTGTGGTTGACATACAGCTGATTTTCCATAAACTATTATGCTGAAAGCAGTTCACAAATACCGTGGAAAAATCAGTACAATGTCATAAACAGACTCAGAAGCAAGTTGGAATAAACAGGACTTTACTTCCAAGCAAAGATGTAAATAGCTGTTGCCTACTGAATAAGAGGACTTGGATCATGAGCCCCCCGTATAAGTGCAGCTTCTGCTGTAGGCTTATTGTGTTGCTTTGGTCAAGATCCCACAGGCCATCCCCTACCTGTAAATCAGAATAGTAGTGACCTGCCTTTGTACTATGTTGGCAAATGCAGCAAAAAATGAGCTGGAGACTTCATGGAATAAAATGGCTAAGGAGAACCTAGATTTTTCTTGTTCAAATGCCTTCCCTGCCATGAACATGGTAGGTGGTCTTAGGTAAGCTCCTAAGCTTAAGCCCAAGCCATTCTTCCATCAGCAATATGATGGTACTAATAATGACATGCATTTTAAAATTATTTTGAAATAAGATCACATAATGAACCTGCAATAATGCATTTTACAAATTCTATATAATGATTAGTTGTGTATCACAGGAAAAATTCTGCAAATTTGGAAATATGCCACACTGAAATCTATGGAGCTTAACAGCTTGTTTTCAGGAAATTAGAGTGCACTTCTCAAAGCAATCTGATCTTGAGGAATAAAGACTCTCCAGAATAAGAGATTTAAGGACTTCTGTCATATAAATTGAATTTAAATCTATAGATTTCTATTGCACAAGTAAAAGTAGTCATTCATTCATTCATTTAAAACATTTGTGTCCTCTCTATACCAAGGGTCTCAATTCTAAGTTCTTCCTCACTGTATTAATAGCAGAAAGTGGCACATTTTATTCAGAAATCAGGCAAAATGGTTCTCTTTTCAATTCATAAATGTGAATGATTTAAACTTAAGAGACAGAAATGCAAATCAGATAAACCAAAAAACTTAGTTTGACAGGCTAAACAGATTTTTAAAATTTCATTTTATGGAGAACCTCTTCATACACACTGAACTTTAATGTGTGCGTTTTAAGAGAAAAGGTGTATAATTTTAAGCTCCTCTGCAGTCATACTGACAAATTCTTTCACAATTACAATTTTGACTAATGGAACAATGGACACCCCCATACTGTATTGTATCAGGTAATTATGAACTGCCAAAGAGTAGGAAAGCACGAACCGGGAATAACCAATGTATCTCCCTTCAATGTATACCGTAATTCAGCGTTTCCTTTCGCAGTACATCTTGTCACACCACTGATTCCCCTTTTCTTCCCCACGCAGATAAAGAGGGAAACCGAAGGCAGGCGAGTCTTTTCAATGACACAAAGCCAGGTTCTCAGGGGGTACTTAAGTTGGATTCACACATAATCAAACGTGCGAGGTGAGGAAGAGGAGGCAGAGGAAGGAAAGGTGGGGTTGCAAGGCTAGCGTGGCAGCACGTGAAATCTCCGAGCTTCTTTACAAACATTTAAGTAGGCACGTGCCCCAGTAAAAGCGACTGTGGAAACTCGGATGATTTGGGGGCTGATTTCAGATTTGACGTTTGAAATGGTGGGAAGATTTCTGTGGGAGAGTTTTGTTTTGTTTCCCATTATTGTATTACTCCAAGTGATGGTTGGGATGAGACAGACCAAATTAGGCAGCATCCTCAAACACACACAAGACGTGGCTGCGGGGCATCCCCCATAATTCCGGATATCTGGCAAGTCCTGGCTGTGTTTATTGGACAGGGCAGACAAAGGTACTCTGTACATGCTCCAACACCTCCCCTAAATCGTCAGTATCCTAAATTTGCCCTAAAGGTGAGCGTTGACGCAGGCGGCAAGGTTCTGACTGAGGCAAGCCCTCGATGGCTCACGTTCACGATGCTTTTCCTGAGGACTAGTTGCATAGCGCTTGGAGAAGGAAGGGTTATTCCCAGCAGAGGCGCGCGTAACGAGGACGTCGTCGCGCCAAAACCGAAAGAAGACAAAAGCCCGTCGCCCGCACACCCTCTCCGCCGCTCGCTGCTAGCGCGGCTGCAGTGGCCCAGCGCCCCTCAAGCAGCCGCCCACCCATGCAAACGTCAAACTCCACCTCAGCGGGAGCCTTTCAGCGCGACCGTAATTGCCCTTCTCTCAGAGTGGCGTGGGCGGGCGGGCAGGCTGGCCGGCCGGCCGGCCGCCTGCCTGTGCGCCGTGGGCTGCGGGGAATCGCCGTGGTTGTTGTTATTATTTTGCTCAGAGGCGGAACCGCGTTGCAGAGGGAGACGGGCGGCAGCTGGGCCAGCCAGCCGGCCTGGCGCGCACAAGCATCTTCGGGCCATCCCGGCCGCTGGCTCCGGGCGCGCTCCCCTGCCCGCGCACGGAAACGGTTCCCTCGCCCGCTCCGGAGAAACAGCCCTGCTTGCGCCTGCCACCCATCGGCTCCTTCCCGGCCCGAGGCACCCTCGTTCCCCGTTGATCCCCGCTCTTCTTTCTCTCCCAGTCCCTCGGACCGACGGACAGGGAGCGCGAGAGCGCGGGCGGTCAGCAGCCGTGCATGCGCGGGCGCGCCTGTGTGTTTAAATAAAGAGCCCCGGCCACTTTTGTTTTGTCATAATCCTTCTGGTGATGGGAAAGAGCGTGCAACCGAGGATGGGGTGTGCAAATGCGTGTGACAGAAAAAGGCAGGCAGAGACGTGGCGAGAGAGGCATTGGTGTGTTTTCCGCCATGGACGACCGACCGTCCCCGCGGGGGAGGGTGATGACAACTGAAGCATAAGAAGTCCCCCCCCCCCACGCCCGCCCGCCGCCCCTCTTTTTTGAATTTGAGCCTGAGCAGCAGCAAGAGAAAAAAAGAAGAGGCGGAGGATTTGGTGACAGTGGAAGCCCCGCCCGCTGCCTGGGGAAGGGGGGCCGTCCTGCGGGCCCCCCACACCTTAGAAAGAGCTGGACTGGCTTCTTTCTTTCTCTCTCTCTCTCTCTCTCTCTCTCTCTCTCTTCCCCCCACCCACTCCGCTCCTTCTCCCCACACGCTCTCACACCGACTCGCGCGCACACACTCACGCACACACGCACGCAGAGCAAGTCTCTCGCGCTCGCTCTTGCAGACAGACAGGGAGACAGAAGATGGCTGACTCGCCCGGGCAACCCACAGTCCAGCCCGCCCGCATCCCCGACCCTCCCAGAGCCGCTTTCTCCTTTGACACTCGCTGACGCCTTCGCCCAGCGCTGAAAGCCGCCGCCGCCGCCCCCCCGCCCCGCATCCTCGCTCCCTTCCCACAACCTTCCCCCTTCAACCTTCCCCCAAATAATACCAGCAGCCATTTCATCTCCACCAAAGTAGATACGTACAAAAAATGGCAGAAATGGAGAAGGAAGGGAGACCTCCCGAAAATAAAAGAAGCAGGAAGCCGGCTCACCCCGTGAAAAGGGAAATCAATGAAGAGATGAAGGTATGTGTGCGCGCCCCGCTCTCTGTCTGAGGCGAAAAGGAGAAAGGGAGAGACGAGGAGGAGGCGGCGAGGAGGGAGGGAGGCTCTTCGCAAACACCCCCTGGCACCTCAGCGCCCCCTCCCCACGTCATGCGTGGCTCGGTGCTGAAGAAAGCCTCGCTCGTTTGTTTGCGGGGGGAGCAAATGGCGTGGACGAAATGTGCCTCAACTCCCCCACCTGAACTGCACACACACCGGATCACTAGGAAGCTTTGGGAATTTGTTGTTGTTGTTGTTCTTTTGTTTCTCCGAGGGGGTTTCAGAGAGACCCCCCCCCCCGTTTTCTATGCCAGATTCTAGCAGATAATCCCAGAAGCTGGTAAAGTTAGAAAAGAAGGGAAGTCATTTTAGCACCGTCGCCTTCTCTCCCCCCCTTTCCAGTAGCCAGCTGTAACTGTGTAATTAAATTGTCAAAGTGAAATGTTATGGTCTGAACTGCTCATCATTCTTGTACTTAGACACAGGGTCTCTTGTCTTTTTCGTCTCTCTTCTACTTCTCAGTCTCTGTTTTCCATGCTTCACTTCACAGTTAATCAAACCAGTGGAGTGCTGTGTTGAAAGAGAGCCGTCCCAGAAGTGTGTGTGTTTGTGTGTGTGCACTCATATAATGCAGATTTGTTTGGAGGGGTTAAGGGTGGAGGAAAGAAAGCCAATGTCCTGACAGGAAATGATGCCAGTCCAGCTGTTCCAGAGGTAGTGCTGTGGGCTGGCTGTCCAGATGTTAGCCTAGCTGTGATTGCATGAAAGCACATCTCAGGACCTCTTTATGTTCAGGTCCTAGGTTGAGATGAAATGGTCCTCTGTTGCATTATTCAGCAGGCCCCTTGACCGTATTTATTTTGTGCCTCATCTGTCTTTTCCTGTGCTTCGCACGTGTTGCAGGGCTGAGGTGAACTTGCTTTGCTTCAAAATGAGAAAACAGTACAGTTTTGGACAGGGGATGAAATGACATTTGGTGATATGGATCATTAACAGGTCTTACACTCCAAGCATTGCTTGTACTCTGAAATGTACCAGTCGTGAATGGTGAAATATTGGTGTAACATGGGATATGAATATATATGGAATCTAAGCCTATCTGTATAAAGATAGCATAGTTATTATTGGTGGTTCTCAGCAAATTAAATGGAAGAAAAATTTTAAGTTTTCCTGTTTGTTCTTAAACTCAGTTCTTAAGGAAAATGTTATCGGTTACATTTGTATTATTTCTTTTGTGCTTACTTGTCCAGTAGCAGACAGAAAGAAACTTGAACAAAGGTAATGGTATGTGTAAGAGCAAAGTGCCTTGCATATCAATAACACTTATTAAGTCTCTAGATCCTCCACAACCACTCTTTCCTTGAGATATGTATGACAATTCCTATTTGGGGATTAAGCTTCATATACTCTTCAACTTAATAGTAATTGCTCAGCCAAATCCTATTTGGATTTGATTCGAGGAAGGAAAAATGCAGAAGAGGAGGAACACTGGGCATAGAAACCTACCCCACTGTGCATTGTCCCTTTAAGACACTGCTTCATGAGATCTATGTAGACTACAGTTTTTAAGTTTCATAGGTTCTAGGATTACAAATTAGCTAATTTTAATCAAAACATGTGAAATGTTATCCTGGCTGGTTATAAAGGCTGACTGTGCTGGATCCTCTGGGTTTGTTTTGTTTACTTTGGCTACAGGCACATTTGGTGGTTTGGGAGATAGTTGTTCTTCTGCAGTATAACAGATGTTTGTCTGAAATGGTGAGGAAGAAACAAAAACAACACTGTGTGTGAAAGGAGGAAAATTACACTTTTTAAAAGGCCATGGTACGAAGCATTAGTGTTCTTGACATTAATGCAAAAAAGTTTCTTCTTAGTTTAAACCTCTGCTAGTGCTTGTTGGGCATTAAGAGAAATAAATATGTCAGAATTTCAGCTATGTGAGTAATTTAATACAAGGTTGTGGACTGAGACAGAGACAGTTTAGAGTGTTTGGGTGGTAGAAAGGTGAATAACAGCAGAAGCTTTCAGGCAGTGTAGACCAAATATCAGAGCAAGTTATCTTATTTAGCTTGGAGACCACATTCTTTTAATAGGATTGGTAGGTTATAACTAAGGTTTTAAGTATGTTTGCATCATTGTTTCATCTGACTGCATTGCAAATGTGGAAATCTGAAAGAATTGCTTGACCTTCTAAGAATAATTCTTTATTTACTGAAAATAAATACACACTGGAGAGATTTCCTTCTCTTCACATAGTTGAAGAGTACAGCAACTTAACAAATTAGTCACATTGTATAAAATGTATGCAACACAATGTCATAGTGAACACAATGTGCCCTTGTGTAGCTACCATATCTGTACTATTCAAGCAGCTTGACTGCTCCCCTTCATCTGAACTGCTTTCATCTGGACCTGTGTAAAATAAGCTCTGGTAAGTAATCACGACAGAGCAGAAAGAAAGGAATGTATACAGCAATAGACAGCCTAAGCTGTAAAAACTGTAACCTGAGTCCCAGCAGCAGATCAGATATCAAGGCTGCAAGGTAGGGGGAAATGAAAGAGATGAAGGGGAGGGAAAGAGGAGAGAGAGGGTTGAGGAATGGAAAAGTCAACTTGGAAAGTGAAGGACTAGGAGGAGGGCCCCCTCGGGGAAATTTGGCTCAGGGATTAGGGAATTTTATCATGGTGTACAGTGACCTACTCAGGTTTCAGCCCATGTTGGATTGAATTGCTTCCATTTGCTAGGAGTAAGAAAAAGGGCCAGCGTGTATGCGATTCCCTCTCCCCACCCTCCTTCCAGTAATAAAAAGCCACTGGGTACAAGTGTCTATTTTAAGTACAGCAAATACAAGGCACTATGAATGAGTAATAAAATTACCTCATCACACAGATTTTTTTTGAAGATTTGCTGTTTGATAAAACCACATATTTGCTAAATAATGATGGAAAAAAACTCAGCCATTACTTTTTCCGATGTCACATCAGTAATATCAGTTGCCACTCAATTTTAATATGACTAGAAAGTGATGTTGTTTGCTGTTTCATCCCAGCAGATATTAGGTTACATTTTTGTTATCTCTAGCATAATGTACATGACAGTTGTAACAAATTTCAATTTGATTTACCATAATGTCCAAAAGGTACATGACTGCATAGTTTGCCTATATTGAATTTCAGTAAAATTCTCTGAAAATTTCTGTCATATGTTTCACTGTGACCTTCAATACATTTTCCCTTCCTTCCCTTTTCTATTGAAGATAAAATAGATGTTCTTTGAATTGATTAGAATTATAACTTGTAGTGAGTTGAATATTATATCTTAACACATACCATATAAAGAATATCATACAATGCTTATTCTTAAGTCTAAAACAGTACTAGAAGGACAAGTTGTCACAGTTTATAGAAACATCAATTTGTATAGTTTAACCAATATAGTCAGCTAGATTAAATTAATATATGTACATTTAATATGATAATAGAAATTCTCAATTTCACATTTTGTTTATTCTAAAGAAGCCACAGAATTCTTTAGAATTCTATAAGAAATGGTTTATGGTCACACATACATTTTATGGCAAATAATGATACAAACGTCGAGAACAGAAATGCTTTGAACCATATATAATTAAAGTGCATTTCAATGAATTAATGCAATTGTACCTAGAAGATTGCACCAGAAATTTTCCTAAGCAATCAGGCTGAATTCATTTACACATTTACCTTCTTTGTCAATTGCAAGGATACAGATCAATCTGTTTTGTAGTTTACAGAACTGCCTCTATGTGCCTGTGGTGCTCATCCTCTTGATTCTCAGTAAGTTATTTGTAAGTGACATGGACTGGGCTTCACTCCTGATACTTTTATCTGTTCTCATATATTGGTTGACTGAGTCATACATTAAGGGAAACAAAAACTTTGGGGTGTTTAAATAATAAAACAATGTGAAAATTAAAAACAATGGGTTGGATCAAGATTTAACCAGCAGAGACTTGCTAAAATCAGTTTCAATAAGTGTGGCTACATCTGAATCCAATCTCATGGCTTTTGCCGCACAAGGCAGCTGAACATTTAGCATTATCTAGCAAAGAAGGGTGTGCATAGACAGCTTAAAGAAACCTCAGGCAAGATATTATGGCACTGTTTTGGAGATTTCATAAAAGAAAGGCACCACTAAAAAGCAGACCTTTCTGGGAGAAATACCCTTCCTTTCAGGATATACTTGGGACACTTACCTAATGAGGATAGGTATATATTAGAAAATTGAAATAACCTTTGGAAGCAGGGATAATTTGTATTGACTAAAACACATTCATTGGCAGCACTGGTTTGCAGTCCTAAAACCTAGCAGGATTAAAAGAAACATGAATGATGAGGTTGTGTTATTGATACACATGTTTAATTCCCTTCATTAACTTGAGATACATATGTACATTGCTGTTTGTGTACTAATTTAAATAATGTATCAAAGGATCCACTTCTCTGAGAATCTGAAATAAGCATTCAGAAAATGAGTTTGACAGATTTGTTCTCTTTTGTGTTTCCTGCTTGTATTTGCCAGGTTTCACCCCTTGTTTCTTAGCAGAGAAAAGACTATATATAAAAATATAGAGAAAACATATGGGTGATACTATGTTATGGGATAGTAAGCTTGTTCTTCTCTGCATGATAATGTTTCAGTAAAATGTATTCTGTACACAGGATATATGCAAATGAAAATGATTTCTGCTGCCTTTTTATGACTTTAGTCTAATAAAAAATAAAAATAATATATCCACAAATCCCCTTCTCTGTGCCATGAATGAGAAAATGTGCTTTGACATACAGAGTAACATTATAATATTCTTTCCTCAGCCAGATAGGATGTATCTTTATGCTCTTGCACAACCCCCTGAAGGTACAATTAAGTCACACAAGTCAAAATTGTTGCAAAATATTCTGGGCAATTTCAGGTGTAAATGAGCAAAAACCAAAGAGATATC